CCCAATTCAAATAGCCTAAAAGGACTATGACCTGTTCTTAATATATTAAGGCTGGCTCAATATCTTTTTTCTCTGATCCGAAATCTGGTAGCCTGATTGGTAATACCCCTTACCTAAGGTTCTTGTCTGCTCAAATTCTTCACATTGGTATCTATTTCCTAGGTCTAGCCTTTACAGTAGTACTATCAAAGATCTGTATTATCTCTCTGCTTAGAATTTCTAAGTGGGCTCCAGCTTTTCAGTTCTACGAATTTATATAGCCTAAGAACTTATTTTAGATTTGCACCATCTGGTACTGGTTTGCATTCCTCTATGCAACAAGTTACACAGATGCCTCAAATCTGCCAGCCATGCTAGTGCGACTATAGTTACAGATATCCTATTCTAACTGATTGACAGAATGCTGTTGCTATAATATCATCTATATATTACATAGGTGATTATCCAAATTTTATTATCAGTAGGTTTTGAACTCACAACCTACCACTTGAGAGTATGACAACTTATCCACTTCACTAAGTCGCCACACTCTATTATTATTATATTAAAATTATATAATTATAATATAAAATTTGTATAATTAAAAAATTAAATAGTTCAGTAAAGTAATTACAAACTAACTATATTTCTATTATATAAAACAACTATTTTATTAATTTTTATTTATCAAACAAACTATTTAAATTTCTTAGATGCTAGTTTATACTTAATAACAAACAAACTAAACAAACTATACAAACTAAACTTATTATAACAGAATCATTATATTTTATTAAAATTGTAAGTACATATATAATATGTTATATTATTAATACTATTATAATTTCTACAATAGAATATTATCTTTATAATATTGTTTTTAATTAAAATATATATACCAAAATTTTTACAAATTATATAAAACTTGTAAAAAACAAAGCTAAGCTTAGTTGTATAATTCTTACTAGCATATTACTTTATTTTCAACTATATAATATTTATAATATATAAAATATTCAATTACAATATTATATTACAAACTTTACCAAAAGACTTAATTCTTTTGATTTTTTAGAAATAAGTACTCATATTAGACTTCAACAATTTTAAAACAACTTGTGATTATTTACTAGTATTTTAATATATAATATTTCTATTATTGATAGTTTTAATAAACTATTGTTAACTTTAAAATTTAACTTTTTAAATATCTTGGTATAATATTTGCATCTAACTTATTATACAATATTTTATATACTATTTAAGAAGAATCTAATTTACTTGAATCAGTACTCTCATTATATTATAAATATTTAATATTTATAAAACAACTTAGACATTACTATATTCTCTATTTAAACCAATTTACTACATTTAATAACTTATATTTTTTAAATTAGAAATATATATTTTATATATAAACAAAATTTTTAAAGACAAACAACTATTTTGGTTTTACTATCTAGAAGACCAAACTACAAGTTACTTATATAATTATAATTTTTATTATATTTATACTTATTTAGTACAAATTATTATTATTCAGAGCATAGCAACAGACACTTAATTTTTATATATTATGTAATATAAAAGTTATATTTTTGATGTATTTTGATTATAAAAACTTCTTTTTGAAGCATCAATATAATTATTTTAATCAAATATATCAATATTATAATTTGAAAATTTTTTGTCTGTTCATATATGTAACATATAATTGCAAAATTATTTTTAAATAACAAATACAACAAACAAGTTATTGATTAGTAATATAAAATTTATAATATATTGATATTTATACTTTATTCATTTATACTTTAGACTTATATTGGTTTCTAATTCCTAGTAGTTATTTAACTAATGTCATGATCTAGAATAAGATCATTGATAATTTACTAAAAGAATCAATTGTATAATTAAAGTAATATACATATTAAATAGTAAATGTAGCATAATTAGCATATGTAGCATAATTAGAATATTTAGCATAATTAGTAGCTTTAGTGTAATTAGCAGATTTAGTGTAATTAGTTAATTTAGTGCATATAGTGTAGTTGAAGTAATTAGTATATATAGCATATTTAGAGCATATAGTATATATAGTGTATAGAGAAAAGTATATAAGTAATATGTTCTAAATGTAAAAAGACAAGTCTTGTAGTATATCTAATAAAGAAATATTATCCTTAGTACTTGCCCAAATCTAATGCCTCTTTTGAGTACTAATTTATTTGACATTATGCAAGAGACTTTTATTGATCCTATAAATAGAAAATTTTAGAGTTGATATTTTCTGTGATATGACACTAGATACTTCTATTTATACAAAAAACTATGGCTTATTATAATATTTAATAATCCAATTATTACTAGTAAAGTCAAAAGACAATCTTTTTTTTCAAAAACTATTTTTATTATTTATTAACAATGCTATATAGAATTATAATTTACTTGTCTTGATTTACTTTTATCTATTCAATTACAAGCATGTTCAGACTGCTTTCTTAACTCTTATACAATTGTTAATAAATATATAATTAAATTCTTATTAATTTCTCTATAAGATTTTTTAGTTAAGTTAACATATACAACAAAACCTTCAACTTCAATGCCAATTATCTTGATTTTATATATTTTATTGCAATTTGACATCTTATTTAAGTTTCTAATTCTCCTAATATTAACATTACAATATACTTTAATTGTAATTATTTTGAACCTGATATTCTAACAAATAATTTTTAACAAATTACTAACAACAATACACAATTATCAAAACTTTACTTTTATATAAACATCTCAGTTGTCAACCTGAGTACCTCACAATGCTCTATGAATATTATATAAAATTAAATCTCAAACAACATTATACTACACATATTTTAAATTTAATTAAAATATTGACTTTGCTTATTTAAGTTTAAGTTTATTGTTATTTTATTAACTCTTATTATTGCTTCTAGAAATTGTATTATATATATATATACTGACTTACAGTCTGTAATCTTTAAATATTATAATCTTTTAAACTTAACTTATACTTTATCTTACATATATACACTATACTTCTCATTATAGAATACACTTATTAACTTTATCAAATTATATAATATTTATATAAATTTTTATAAAGTTATCACTTATCAAGATGATTAATACAATAATCTTACAAATTAACTTATATACAATTATCATAACTTGTCTTATCTTATCTTTATGTTTTACAATATCTATAATCCTACATATACTTTAAGCTTTAGAAACTTTCTTTTAGAACTATCTATTTATTGTTATATTTGTATAATATGTCATATATATATTTATGCATTATAGATTACACAAACTGCTTTTAAAAATAATATAAAATTCTTAATAAGTTTATTGGCAAACTACCTAACTATATATTAACAATAATTAAAAAATCTCAAACTTTTTATATAACTTTTAATTCTATATTTTCAAATTTTTCAGAATTAAAATCTTATTAAATGATCTTTTTATTTTACATATTCTACACAAATAATATCACTTAAATTCATCTATTTGTTATCAAATTAGTTTTTATCTTTACTAAACAATCTGACCATTTAATTAATTATTATACAACCTTATAGATATTTTATTACAACATATCTTTAATACTAAAATACTTAATATTATATCAAATACTATAATTAATTTATATAACAAACTTAAGCTATTAAGTAGCATAACTATTTACAATATATTAGAAGTACCCTTAATTTTCTTAACCATAACAATTCTAATATCAAATGAACTTATTAATATTATTGCAAGCTTGTTATTTAAAAAAAGTAATTATATCATTTATAAGGTTTTTAGTTTATCTTAATTAACAAATCTATCCCAAAATTTGAATTTTTTATTGTATTTCAAGATTTACAACTCAACTTTTTGAATACAACTTATTATCAAATACTGCTTTATTCTTATCATATTCTTCTTTATTCAATTCTATTAAATTAAAAATAAACCTTTGATATATCTAATAAATCAAATATTAAACTAACCTTTTATATATAATTACTAATATCCAAATCTAGATGAGTCTTAGTTACTTTTGTTGATTTAGGTCACAGATAAATTAGTTTAAGCTTCTATTCTTTTTATAATATTTTAAAAACAAAATTATACTTTATACAAAATTTAATTAAATATTCAATAAAGATAGAAGTATGCCCTTACCATTAATATTAAAAAAAACCCTCCAAATTAATAATTTAAAAGAATAATTAGATGTGTTTTTAATTTTTTTTAGTAAATTAGGCAACTAATACAAGCAAATTGCCTATAAATGCTTATAAAAGTAATTGAAAAACATCAACTCATAAAACTTAAATCTAAAATGTTTTTGTATAAAAACAAGAATTCTAATAAAGAATTAACTAACAAGACTGTTCAAATTAAAAAATATACTTAATAAAAACTTTTATATTTTTACCAATTATTATTTAATAGTTTCAAATTTTATATATATCAAGAAACCAATTTTGTGTATTTATTTTTATTTTAGTAATAAATATTTATAATTAAACCTTTTAATTTTATTAATATTAAAACAAATTGCAAATATTTTAGATTAGTATATCAATTATATAAATATTATTGTAATTGATTAATATATAAATTAAAAAACAATTAATTGTATAATCAAAATAATAATGGTTTATTTTCTGAAGCAATAAATCTTTTTGAGACGCATCTGATTACAGAATGAACATTACATCAAATCAAATCGAAGAAATCGAAAAAATGAACGAAAATATTTTACGCAATCATGAATATTAATAATATCGTAGTATAATGATGTTATTGAGTTTAGTTTATGCCGGGAATAGGAGTAAAACGTCATTAAAATATTAGTATTTCTAAGTTTATTTGTATAAAAAAAAAATTAATTTGTTTCATATAAACATTATTCGGAAGTAAAAAAAAAAAAAAAAAAAAGCGTTTGTTGATTTTTCTTTTTATTATTTCTTCCAACTTTTTTTTTATTAATAATGATTAGAGTTAAAAGAACAGACGGAGTACCCAAACATGAAGTTATCGAATTAAGGAAAAAGTTAAGAAGTTTAATAAATACACAAAATTCTAAACCGATAAAGGGAGTAATGCAATTTGTAGCGTTAATCGATGAGAGTTTCAAGTGTTTAGAGAAACAAGGATTTCAGTATATTCAAGGTCGAACACAAGGGCAATTTCACCTTATTGATAACGTAAAAACGGAAGCCATGCTTGTTGAAATTACGGATAATGAACAAGATGAAATAAGACCGAAATTTGAAAAACGAAATAAGAATGAAAAATTTTACGACTTAGATGAAGCGGCAAGAACAGCGATTGTATGGAAAGATGGAGGACTCAAAAACGAGGAAGAAACAACTCATACTAACATCAATTATATCAATTATTGGAACAATCAAGACGGAGAAGTTATTGATGAGGAGGATAAGGAAGATGTAATTAGCTTGGATGCATCAGAATTCGAGTTCGACGATGAAAAATCATCGGGAATAGGATATGAAAAGATGGATTGGATATAGAGGAAAAAACTGGGCGCAGTTTTTTTTTTTTTTTCCGGCAGATATCACACTAAATTAATATTTTTAATGTGATTACATTAGGGATCATTTTCATAAATAGTCGATCCTTGATAAATTCATTATTTTATAGTTAAACAACAGGCAATTTAGCAAGCCAATTTACGCAAATATATATTATATATTTATTAACAAGACTTATTAGAAAATTTATTCATATATGTACACATCATATTACTCATTTAAGCGTGTTCAGATAGAAAAAAAAAATAGCAAATAGAACGAAAGCGAATCAAACGAAGAGCAGGCATTAATTTTAATGGGTTGCATCGCTAACACATTTAATACTACGCAGAATTTAATGAGAATTGTTAATAAAAGGTAATAACAATAAGTTAGTAAAAAAATTAGAAATGTGAAACGTAAATCAAACCTATCATCAATTCCCATCTTCTTATCAGTTCGAGTCTATTAACAACGCAGAAAGGATTAGTTTAGGGACTTACTTAATAATTAAGAATATCTTTTGATGATTACCTGAAATCGAAGGGTAGTGTCAAGGCGAGGAACGTTCATTTCATGGAGCTTTTCAATGGATTTAGTAACAGCCTCAAAAATCTTGTCTAACGGACCTTCTGCTCGATTTAGAGAATAAGAGATAATGAAACAAATTAGAGATGAAACAATCAGATAGAAAAGATCATGAAAACGGCAAAGCGAACCGATGTTAGTGCCATAAGCGTGCAATTTATATTTTAAGCTTAAAAATAAAGCAAGTTAATAACATCATAATTAAAGGGCATTAAGAAAGAAAAAAAGAAAACCAAGTTAATTACTCAGATGCTTTCAAAATATGTTGAACTTCGATGATGTACTATTTTTTGTAATAAAATAGTGAAAAATAATCAAGAACTGTCAAACCAAAAATATCGGCTACATTTAAAATCTTAAACATGCCTTGGAAATATTAACACCAGAGCCTACAGCGCATATGGAAAAATCAGCGATAACATGAGAAGTAGGAGAAGTCATTATTATTCTTTGTTCGCGTGTTTTATTTTTTTAAAGTAGAATTTCGACAGAAAAGTTGAGCAATACATTTTATTTATACAGAAAATTTTACAATTTCAAACAATGAATAATTCATGACGTATGACTGAAATAAATCAGACTTTGTCGTGGGAAGTTTGTTTTCTGCATGAGTTCATGAGTATATAATAATAATTTAATTGATGCAAAACGCACGTGAAATGTATGGATTTAAATAATTTGAATCGTGGGAATATATTAATCATAATGATAAAGTACATTCTGAGATTCAGTTTATGGATCGATTTTTTTTGCATATGCTTTTTCCGAACTAACATTATTTTCATTATTTTCCGTATTTTCACCACTTCCGTTATTCACATTACCCTCACTAATAAGTATTTCTTTACTCTTACGGCTTGCAGCATAAGAAGCGATAACCATGGCATAATATATCTATAGTTGGTATTAAAATTAAACGATTCATAAGTTAAAAAAGTTGACAGAATAAAAATAATTTGCAAAATAAAAAAATAGCATTAAACCAGATTTGTGCGATTTCCGGAAATTCCTGAAATCGCACAAGTCTCATAAATCCGGGCATTCTACTCTAAAACATACCAAAACGATCGCATCAATAAGTGCACCAATAACTGCAGATATCAAAGTAACGTTATAGGAGTTGACACAAATGTCATTCAGATCAGAACTAGTGTAAGTAGAATTATTTGAAGGATCATTAAGACAATCATTCAGAAAACTTTGTCTGTTCACAATGGTGTAAATAATTTCGGCAATGTCTCTAGCAATGAGAATTGTGACAACGATATTGGCAAAAATGGAAAAGATTTTTAAATTTCTAGACGTATTCTACGATACATTATCGATGTTGTATTAGTATTGATGCAAGATTAGTAACATTAAATAAAATTCAAAATAAAATTCGATTATTCTTTGAACATTAATACTTACAAAACACCAAGTAACTACAAGACCATAAATCGCACCAAGACAAAATAATGCATAGATGATAGTGTAGACATAGGAAGAACCGTCACCTATAATAATAATAATATTATTATTATTATTTAATTATTGAACTAAGGCCATACGAAGATAATTTCTTTGGTTTTCATAACATTAGAGATCGGATCCAGTCGTATTAAATTTAACGGATATCCAAGCTCTACATAACATTAAAGTCTCCACCCAATTTTAATTTTTGTTTAAAGTTATCCACTCGGTTATTAAAATATATAATTTTTTTCGATAGGATTATGAAAACCAAGGAATTAATTTTGTACAGCCTGATTTTAAAAATAATCCAGTTTTTCATATATTTACTTGGATTGTGTGCGATAACTAGGCATCCATAAAGTGTGTGATATAGTGCATAAATCTATAAAAAAAAAATCAATAAATTAGCAATTATATACTTAACAAGATATAATGTATTATTATGAACTTGCCAGCCAAAGCGTAGAAATAATTATAACTCCTGTTCTTAATTTTATACATCCGCAACAAGTTTTTGGCAGAATAAGCTTCATTTTTCTTTTCAGGAAAATTAACAAAATTAACGCTAGTTTTTTTTTATTAACTGATAAGTGAATGGAAAAGCAAAGCTTATTTTTTATATATTAGATAAAAAAAAAAGAAATCTATTTAAGAAATCTATTTATATTAACGGATGTTGCTTAGCCTGCATCCGATTGTTTAAGTCATGGAATACTATTTATGATTTTATGTAACTAAACTGATTGTGTTCATGATCGCAATCCTTAAGTAACCGTTACATTGTTCTAACCATTTCTCGGTATGTCTGTATGTTATCATAATTCAAAAATTTTATACACCATATTTATTATCAGGAGCAGGCTCAATACTACGTAGTACCTATCAGGATTGATATCCATTTAGGTTATTTTCATTCCTTAACTCTAAAAATAAAAAAAAGTCTCATAGATGCAATAGGTAAATAAATTTATGATTTGATGCGCCGACTTACCCCTATTGTTATTTGCTTACTTATTTCAGTATATCTTTGTAGTCCGTATTTATAAATGTATTCTACGTATCATTTATACATACAAAATGCCCAGTTGTCACTTTTTATCCTTAACTATAATTGGATTTTGAACTCGAATTTTCAAAATTCTGGTAATTTTTTGTCTTTAGTGAAATTTTCTCTACATTTTCAATAATTGTCGCTTCCACTTGCTAAATTGGCGTTTCTAAAATGATTTTCAATTTCTGTTTTACATGTAATTTATTAATGTAATTTTGTCAATTATTCCTACGTAATACTAATACGTATTAATTAATAAACAAATATATAGGATTGTTAAACGCTCATAACATAAAATAGTATGTAACACAACTTCGAATAGACCTAAATTTCGATTTTAAGAAACCGAGAGAAAACGAGTGTTTAAACTTGCTTTGAGTATTGTTACATCCGAAACTACCTCTTATAATTCCGTTACTCTAGCGACTGATATATTAAGCGACTAATAGTAATACTGATTTATGCTTAAGTAAAGAATAGGGTTTATTGCAGTTACGAAAGAGGCAAACGGCTAAATGTATATGAAGATAAAAGTAGTCGTATAAACAAGTTTACGATTTATTCCAAGTTAATCGTGTATGAAGACACTATAGCTATTTACTAATTATTCCGGCATTCGTGTATGAAGACATGATTATTCCTTTATTATTGAGTTGTTCAGTTTTTGAACTATCCTTTTACAAGAGCGGTTTTTAAAGCTATTTATGCATCATAGGATACTATGATCCTAATTAGTTATATTTTAGCTAACATTTCTACTATTTCTATTAACGTTTTTATATCTAAGTAGAATTAGTATGTAGTTATTACAAGAATTAATATTATGGCTTGAACTATTATTTCTACTACGTACGTAAAATTAATTAGAACTACGTAGTGCTAGTAGAATTGGTAGAATTCTTGGCATTAGTGTTACGTTACTGTAAAGTCGCCAAAAAAGTAACGCGATTTTTTTTTTTTTTTAATATTAATGGTTAAGTAACACAATTTTATAATAAAATATATATATTACTTTTAGGAAATTTTGTTATTAAAAAAAATTTTGATTTTTTTGTTTCAATGAAAATTATACATTATAAAATATAAATATCAACGTTTCTAATCATATAAAATTAAAAAATATTTATTATTAAACCTTTAGATTTTTTTTTATATATATTTAATAAGCGGTCAATCACTTGGCCAACATTGGTTTTATTTGTTAAATTAAAATACATTTATAGTTAGTAACAGCTAATCACATCTATAACTTTAATTATTGTTTATTTAAGAGTTTCATTCTAAGATTACTTACTAGTTGTCATATCTGACTTCTACTTGTGGTTGTTCTATTTAAACTCTTTGGCATTTCTATTTAGTATTTGTATAACACTAACTAGCCTTATTATCAAACTTAACCTATATTACTTTTATAAGAACTATTTGGATTTTTTTTTGAATTATATTTAGGTTATTATCTATTTTAAAGTATATTATTAAAAATAAGCTTAAAAGGTTTTATTAACTAATTTACTCACTTTACAGTTCTATTAACAGAATTATACTTTATAAAGTTTACTCAAATTTTAGTATCAATTTTACAATATATTTCTAGTACTTTAGTATATTTTCGCTTTGTTTTCAAACTCTATTCAAAATAGTTTAAAAAAATTATATTTTGTTCTTTATATATTAAATTTAATCTAATATTCTTTTTCTTTGATCTAAATCTGATAATCTAATTAGTAGTGTTTTTTATCTAGAAGTTCATATTAGTATTTATTTTTTAATTTTTTTTAAAAAATTATACTTTGTAATAGTTATTTTATTAATATAGATTGGGATTAATTATTACAATTATTTTTACAAAAATGAGAGTACAGCTAGCTACATATGTAATTCTTAGTTATTTATTTAAATAATCTATTCTAAAGTTTTATACTATATATTGTATTTATAATTTACTAAAAAATTATTTATTTAAATCTTCTAATTATCTATTCTGTTAATTATTTAACTACTACAAATCTTATATATATATATTATACTTAACTAGTATATTGTTTAAGTTTCTTTTTTATACTAATATTCAAACTGTTATATATTTTAGAGTATATTATTTGTTAATAAGACTTAGAAGATTCTCTTATTAACTATCTAACTACTTTACAAACTATTAACAAAAGCTTAGTTTTGTAAAGTTCACTTATATCTTAGTATCTATTTTGCAATATATCTTAATATTTTAATATATTTTTAGTTTGTTTTCAAACTTTTAATTCAAATAGCTTAGAAGAATTATAATGTATTTTTAATATATTAAGTTTAAACTAATATCTTTTTTCTTTAGTTTAATTTTAATAATCTTTTATTATTATTATTATTATTTATTTATTTATATAATACATATCAAGTAGGAAAAATTAATAATATATAAATATAGGTAATATTATCACTTCTGATATATCATATTTTATTAAATAAATTAAAAAGCTTATTAATAATATTAAATCTAATAACTGTTATTTTAAACTATACTTTTAGGATTATATATA